TATATATATTAATATATTAATATATTAATATATATATATATATACATACACATACATACACACATACAAGTTCATGTATTCATTTATTTTTCCATTGTTTATTGAGTTGTAAGTACTTCCTGCGTACATATCTGTGTGTATGATATACAAACGCTAGTCATTGAGTCGTATCGCAGGGCGCATCTTGCCGGCGCCAGGGCCGACGACTACACAGTGTACTTGGGGACGCTCTCTGTGGCCACGAAACGTGACTGTGAGGCCCGTCTTGTGGGTGACATTGCCGCGGGCTTCCTTTATAAGAAGTTAGAACTATCTGCTAAGGTTAATGACGTATGAAAAAAGATTACTAGTGGATGGTGCATCCATTCGCACCCATGTGTCGTGTCACGCTGCCATGTCCTGTTTAGAGGTCCTGTGAGGGAGTCCTTCAGGTCTTTCGGAGTGCATTTTGTAGTGCCCGGGAACTGCACGGTTTGATACCACAACCATACTCTCACTTCCGGCACATGGATTGCTGCTCCTACTCTACGACTTGCTCTGCGACTTGCTCCATCCGGGTGCCACTTCATGTCAATGAATCCAGCGTGTTGACGCACTAGCCGGGCGATGCGCCTGGTTCCAGGCCTTCTGCACCTTGACTGCAGCCCGAATCACCTGATGGATTGAAGAAGGTGGCAGGTTGCATTGATGTAGCTTCATGCCCAGGTAGCCACCACATGGTCCTCGCATATGCCATCTACTACTTCTTGATCCAAGCGCTCAATACCTGTCCAGGACATTACTCCTACTCCAGCAAAAGGCATAGGTTTGAGGTCTGCCTCCGGTACCTGTCTTGTCAAGCATCAGGAGCTTTCGGGAAGGAGTTGCTGCGGCGGCATGTGCAAATCAGCGCCTGTGACAAACTGTAGTCTGAGTCTATGTCGATGTTCCTGATCTGGTCTGCTGCGGAATTTGCACAGCCGTTGACGAGTTAACGTGATTTAGCCTTCTGGTCTACTCGAAAGCATTGTTCGCTTGTCGAGACAAGGCAGTTCAGCAGAGATCGAACTGACACAGCGCTTGCGCCCTCCCACGGACGCAGGGCCAGCTGCAAGGCTTCTAAGCTCGAACGGCCAGTTTTGACAGAGCTCACATTGAGGCTGTTGTTTGCAGAACAGACCTGACCATGAGGCAGGGCCGCAAGGACAGGGCGCGAGGCTGCGAGGCCGCGAGGCCGCGAGGTGAGGGCACGAGGCAGTGAGGCCGCGAGGTGAAGCGCTGCGCGAGGTCGCGAGGTGACGGAGCCAGGACGTGAGGTGAGGGCGCGAGGTCGCGAGAAGGGCGCGAGGTGCGCGAGGTGAAGGCGCGAGGGATACGAGGGAGCCCCTGGGGTCGCGAGGAGTGTGCCAGGTGCGCGAGGCCGCGAGGTGAAAGCGAGGTTAGGTCACGAGGTCATGAAGCGAGGCGCAGCCATGGCAGCCTTTTCTTCAGGTCCGTTCAGCTTTTGGTTTTCGGTCCTTGTATCTAATGGTTACAAGTTACAAGTTAACAAGTACCAAGATTTGCACGTGCTTGCAAAATATTATAACCCCGACGGGTCTAGGCACTGCATGCCATACAGTTAGATCCAGACTCCAGACGACGATGATTATGGCCATGCTCATGGAGCGAAACGTTCGAAATGGACTCTTAGAGAATTTGAGAGGCAGGGAGCAAACCGCTCGACAGGGACTTTAGAGAATTTTAGAAACAAGGAGCAAACCGCTCGACAGGGGTTGGGGTGTTTGAGAAACAGTGGGCAAACCCCTCGAAAAGGACTAGCGTATGAGAGACAGGGAGCAAACCGCTCCAAACTGACTAGACTCGAAAGGGACAGGTATATTTAATAAACAGGGAGCAAACCGCCCGCAAGGGTAATTTGAGGCACATGGACCAAACCGCTCGAAGGTCACTAGTTTATATGAGAAACAGGGAGCGACCAGAGAGCAAACCACTGGAAAGGAACCAGATTGTGTGAGAAGCAGGGAGCAAATAGCTAGAGAATTGGAGAAACAGCGAGCGACCCGTTCGAAAGTGATTAGCGTATTTGAGAAACAGTAGGCAAACCGCTCGAAAGGGACTCGAATCTTTGTTGAGCGGTGTGTGCTTGGCACTCTGATCCCTTTCGAGCGGCTTGCTCCCTGTTTCTCAAACACTCTAGTCCTTTTCGAGTGGTTTGCTCCTTGTTTCTCAAATAGTCTATGCGCTTTCGAGCGGTTTTCTCATTGGCTTCTCAAAAACTCCAATCCTTTTAGAGCGACGTGCTCCCAACTTCTCAAGAACCCTAGACTATTTCGAGCGGCTTGCTACTTGTTTATCAAACACTTTTTTTTCTTTGCGAGCGGTCTGCTAGGTCGTGAGGCCGCGAGGTCCCGAGGCTGCGCCGCGAGGTCAGGTCGTGAGGCCGAGAGGCCGCGAGGTCGTGCGGCCGCAAGGCCGCGAGGTCCTGAGGCCGCGAGGGCGCGACGAGGGTCATGAGGCCGCGGCCGCGAGGTCAGGTCGTGAGTGGCCGCGCGGTTACCCAATCCCGTAATCCCATTGCCAGGTCTGATCTCGTTGTTTGGTGGCTTTTGCTGCATGTCACATGTCATGAGTTCGTGGTCCAAGGAGCACTGGTGGCAAGCCTTCGAAATGCACCGAGAGTTTGGAATCCAGCTATCAATGCCAGGGAACACCTGGATACGATCAGTCCTGCATTTTCCACTGCGCCTACTTGGCTCCTGGGGATGACAAGCAGTGGGTGGTCACGCTTCTGCTCTTAGAGGACGGTCGGGCGCAAGATCCGGCAATCAGCTGCCCGACTTCTAGTCATTCCTTCATTTCTGTAGGGTCCGCATGCGGCCTTTTGGTGTGAATCGCTGTGTCGGGCAGCCTGAGGTGACTGGGATATGCCTGCTATCAGAGTGGACAATCCTGTCTCTGTTCGTGTGAAGCGCTTCTCGTCGGCCACCGAGTTGGAGAGTCACGCGAGCATCTCGGACTTAAGGAGAAGGGGAACCTAAGACGCCCCATGGGAGTTTTGGCCAGTCGACGTGCTTGGGCTTGATGCCAGGAAATATGACGGTGAATTACCGCCCTGGTTTGAGCGTCCTCTTTCGGGCACTTTGGCAAGATCGATGGGCACATGCACTCTTCGATGGCCTCTATCCTGCATTTGTCTCGCTCGCCAGGCAGGTGATTGTGCATTGACTGTCCATTCATTTCGCGGCAAGCAGGGCAGCTTTTGACCTCTTATTGCGGTTTGCGAAGTCACTGGGTTAGGGAGGGCAAGTTCCCCTTGGCTGTGCGTGCTGCGAACCCGGAGGTTTGGGCTTGAGAATCATGTCTTCACGCCCGTGGCCATCATGTCGAACTACACGGCTGGCTTGGACTGCAAGCCGCCTGCTCGCATAAAGGCAAGGCAGCCAAGCTTTCGAGCGCTCGCCGTCTCCCAAAATGTAGTGCTGGTCGGTGTTCGGTTGACTTGCGCTGGCTCAGGAAGCTTGAATCGCAGGCACTCGGACTGTCAGGCATCTGCACGTGCAGAGCGGGAGAGGAGTGTTACATGGCAACAGAGCACCGAAACTGCTGCTGCTGCTGCCGGTGTCCATGCAAGCTGCAACCTCAAAACCTAGCTGTTACTCCTAAAGCTTAAACCGTGTCGTGGACGTGGGAGGTGCTGGGATCTACACTGGTACGGCCTGTCAGATGGAGGAGGCCTTTCGACTTTTTGGGGGCAGGGGCAAGGCGAAGCAGGAGCTCCTCCGCTTGAGCGATCTCTGGGTGCCTTCGTTAGACAATGGAAAGTACTATGAGGGTTCCTGTACAAGTTGCCATGAGGGGGTTTTCTAAGACCTACTACGGGATCCTGTATTCCCAGTAGATACATCTTAGCTCTTTGGCCACCGAGGCCTTGGCCCCGCTTTGCAAGCTAAGATTCTTCTAAGGAGCAGCTGATCAATGCCAAAGCCGCACTGCTCTTTGACCACCTGGTAAGCGGCAGCGCTCACATGGGGGAGTATGCGTCCTATGTGTCTTTGCCAGGGACAAAGGATAGTAGCCTGGCTGAGGAGCCATCAGCCTATGGACGAGACATCGTCGGTGAGTTTGCAGACAGACTCTACCTTGCGCATAGCCTGGACCCTCCATCCTCCAAGACCTCTTCCAGGCCGGCGAAGCAGACGTTGAAAGTCATCATCACAGCGAACAAGCGAATGACACCGGAAGAGGTGGCGTCCATGAAGGAGCTTGCGCAGCAGGGTGTGGCTTCAATTAGGAATTTTTCCATGGAAGTGAGCTTCGTGGATTGGTCGCTGGTACAGCCTTTCCGGAAGCAGCTCGAGCTTCTGCAGAACACTGACATCATGGTCACTGGCATCGGCACAGCCATGTTCTATTCGACCTTATTGCCTTTTGGCTCAGTTTGCATCAACACGGGCTGGAAGGACAGCTCGCTGATGCCCACATATGGTGAGGAGGTGCTTGGCATGTCAAACCACCGCAGCAAGTTTCTGTACATGCCTCTGGACAGGCTTAGAGATGGAATGGTCAAGGCAGACATAGAACACCAGATCCAACTTGCAGCCTCCTTGATCACCGATGGCTTCTCTCTGCCACTACGCAGCTCCGAAGAGAACTTGTCAATCTTCGGTCGAATCATTCACGACTTGGGACAGCAAAGCGACACTTCCAGGAAGGGACTTCAAGGTCGCGAGCAAGTGGACGGAGGCTTCCTGTGTCACCAGCGCCCGACGGGTCAAACTTCTTTGTCTGAACCTTGGCCGCATGGCACCTTGCAAATGCTCAGTCCAGGGCTGATGAGGTCATGAGCCAAGTCTAGTTGAACTGAAGAGGACCTGGTGTTCGAGCGCATGGTGGATGCCCGGAACCTTCTCTTCCAGCTTCCTGGCCCGATGCAGCTCGCAGAGGCGTGCCAGATTGATCTGGAGAAACTGCGCGGGGGGGCCCAGCATCAGAAGATGAAGTGAAGTGAGGGAGTCGCAGGAGTAGTAGGAACCATCACTCAAGCGTCCTTGCGTTGAATGGTTTTGGATGGAGATGTTGAAAGGTCCCCATGCTTGCTGTCATGCTAGCCTGGCTGCGAGCCTACTGGAGGTCAGCTGAAGAAGAAGTATCAGCTCCTCGAAGCTTTGGGCACGTCGGATAGGAGTTGTGAGTGCGTTGTCTGTGAGAGCTGTGGGCTGTTGATGTGATAGCTGAGACTCCATTGCCCAATGCCGGCCAAAAAGGAACATCTTGCACATTGCACGTTGTCGTGGCTGCTTTTGGCTGTTGCCGGAACGCACCTCGAAGGTCACAGATTGGTGGGTCGTCACGGAGTGCGATAAACAGTGCGGTGGCGGCGAGGCCAGTGGCAAATCCCCATGAGCGGAATTTGCTGGTGACATCAACTCGTGCAAGCTCGTCAGGTGAAGATGAGGCGTGGCATTCTACAGGAGGCTCCGAATGATTTCCTCCTGTTCGCTCTTGCTCAACGTTCCCTACTCAGTCAACAACACCCCGTCAGTTGTGAGGCGACCGGTGGCGGGCTGGCATGCCCCAGCCAGGCAGAGCTGGTCAAGGCGAACATGCGGTAAGTTGTACAAAACCCAGTGTGGCTTCGCCTCCTCCAACCTTGACAGACCGAACAATGCAACATGAAGCCCTGCCCTCTGGCGCGATTGGACCGTGACCTGGCCGCAGCGCGAGTCGAGTTCACGCTACATGCACGTAGTTTTAGAGATCTACTACAAAGCGCAATCTCAGCACTGTGTCTCGTGATTTCAGAATCTACACTTGGCTCCCATCGAATGGACGGTTCACAGGTCTGACTACTTCGCCCGAAAAGATCTATGCAGGTGGAAACCTTTTCCACTCGCAGTGCCATCGAGAGTGGTTGTGTGAGGACTGTAAATGTGTGATTGTGTGAGCTGGCGTGGCTTGCCGCAGGCTCACCTTTCGTAATGACTATTCAGGGTGAGTGGTTCGATCCAGACAGCGACAGCTTTGGCCTCAGCTTTTCGGTGGCCGATCTCGGGCCTCATTGCGGTTTGTGTAGTAGTGCTCAGTTTTCATGCTGAGCTGCCGAGGGATCCTGATCATCAGCCAGGACGAGACGTGTGGCCAGACGCAGGCATAGTCTGTGGACTCTTGCAGACTCTTGCAACTGACTTGCGGTTGCGATGGGTGGAGTCACTGTCGGAACATAATGCCGGATGTGCTTGTTGAGGCGCATCACGGTGGCGCTTCCTGCAACCAGTTCGGTGCCAGCGGTTTCGCCTTGGTTTGCGGAAACGGTGCAGCTCTCGACATGAAGCACATCTTAATCAACTTAAATTAAACCGTGCTACCCATTGATGAGCATTCTTCAGGCTGGCAAGGCTTAGTGTCGATGTCCGCGGCATTTGAGCACAAATTGTGATAAGGAGTCCTGCTCGTTCCGGCCATGTTCGTTGGGACGGGCGGGCGTCCGATGTCATCCGTGTGCTTGTGGCCCCTGCCCCCTGCCAGACGTCCAGCGAGATTCGGATGGCCTGCTGTAGCAAATGATGGCCGATGATAATGACTCCGCGCCGGGCGAAGAGCCCAGCGCCGTCTGCTTGACCGGCGCTTCAGGCTGGTCCATGTCGATCAACGGAGACCCCTGCCTAACCATACTCGCGAGAGAATATGTCGTTTCCGTGTGGTCCTTTCTTTGCAGTGAGGAGTACATCGCAACCACTGCGCGCCAACACGATCGTGCAGCTTCCCAGCGTGAAATAAGTCTAGCCGTTAGGGCCTTTAGTGTTTGACGAGGGGGAGATGCTAGAAGAACAGGGAATACTTGAGGCCTCGCATGCCTAGGGCAGGAGGCTTCATAGGAAATCTCAGTTCTTGCCAGGTAAAGGCCACCGCTGGTTGTTTGGAAGACTTTAGCAATGTGCTTGCGAAGACGTAGTCCGTAATCATATATACACACAATTATAATTCCAATGCAGCCGGCTGGTGAGTTTAGAAACTCAGATGTCACACTTCTATGGCGAAGCACACAGATGCCAGGTTTATGTCAAGTCTGATGCATCCAAGTACCTCGCCTACAATGCTCCGCGACGCGCATGGCAGGTTTCGCGCTCTTTGGGGCCATCAGGTTCTTATGCATCATGCCCAGGGGAGGCGGGTGCTTCAGTGGTCTTCTGGCAACAGCCCTTACTGGTCCCAGCTCTCTGCAAAAACACAGATTCGCCTCTGTGAAGGATGCGAGCCCGACTGGTCTCCAGCGTGCCTGCAGCATTGGCAGCCGAACGGAGCCTGGTCTTCAAATCTTGGACCTTCCTTTGCCCAACTCGCTGCACGTGGTTGGAGCGGCTGCGCGGAGGCTGAGTTTGCAGGGATTGTTCTGCTTGCAGGGAGTTGATGTCACCCAGAAGATCGATGGACGCGGTGTGAGCACTCCGGTCTACCAGCTTTCGATGTCAGAACGTTGTGAAGATGGCCCGGCAGATGGGATGACGACGCTTCGACTTGAAGCAAGCTCCTGGACCTTCAAAGTGGCAAATTGCAAAGCAGGCGAAAGATGCGATCAAGAGCCAGTCACACTCGCGGCCTGTGTGAGCCAAGCGCTCCGGCCTGACAGGCTTGCAGCCGACTGCTTTGGCTTCCGGGCAGACGAGTTCAACATTGCACCTGCGTGCGTGCGACGAGCTCCTTTGTCCGTGGAGGTGGGAGGCCCCGGCAAAGGTCCAGGCAGCCAAGAGCGCGGCGAGTATCGACGGACCCTGGACGTTGCAAACCATCCTGCGTACGAGAAGCCAGACGAGTCACGGCATCTGTCTTGCAGCTGCAAGACATGTTGTGTATGACCATTCTGAAGACCCTGATTCACTCCTGATCCCTTCGCTAGCCGAGGTTTTACAGTCCCGACTTGGGGGGCTGGCAGCTATCTGCTGCCAAGGGCCTGGGCTCAGGAACTGCGCATGGCCAGGCCTGCGCCTGCACACCCCAGGAGCTCCGGGGTCCCTGGCAGGCAGGGGAAGTTGCAAACTGCTAACATGGGGGTGCCAGCCACCATCTTCTACATGCTACAGTACATGCCAACTAACGGCGGTGACTAGCTGATAACTGCAAGCTGCTATCTGATACTGAGTTTCACGGTGGGCCGGCCGGGTCAACATAACTGTCGCGTTCCAGCTCTCACTGCAGGTCTCAGCCGCAAGCTTTCCTTTGAATTGCGGTGATGCCGTTGATTAGCCATTGACAGCGAACTATCATGCTACGACCACTTGTCGCTGCTCACTACCTGCCTCTATCACTACCGCAGCCACTGCTGCCATTTCCACACTATCTACCACTACCAGTGCCACAGCCTCACTACCACCACCAGCATCACCACTATTACCACGACTACCACACAGAACCAGACGCAATTGGTTACCACCATTACCACTGCGCAATGACGACTGCTACTTGACACTGCGACCACGACCACTGCTACTACTACTGCGACGACAACTACGACTACGAAGACGACTATACCCATACGACGACGACGACGACAACAGACTACGACCCCGACGCCAGTATCATTGCACAGTGGTGTCGTTCATTGGTGTGGGACTTCTGGGACTACATTTGCTGCAGGAAAATGGTATATCAGATCACGTCATCGAGCAGTCAACTCGGTCGACCGCATGTATATTGGTCTCGTTGTGCCGTTGCAGGTTCTCGACGACCACGGCCGACCACAGGAAGTAGAGCTCGTGATTTCAGCGAGACCACCTCCACAACAGCTGACGTTTACTGGCTGGCCGCCACCACTGGAACATTTCAATGGCTTCTAGCCTTGATGGTTATCAGTAGCTCACTACTGTAGGAGGTCCGTCCGTCCATGAGATGGTTGGCAGCGCATCAACCAAGGTGAGTACGATCGGCTGGAGCTGGCCGATCCCTTGCATGGCAGGCATTCGTTCGCTCGCGTGCTGAAGCTTGGCAGCTCTCCGATAATGCAAAGCACAAGCATACAAACATTGGATTCCTGTAGAGGGGGACAAAGACGGGTAGGCAGGCGCCCCCGCCTCCAGGAGCCGCCGCTCAGTTCGCTCTTCCTGCTTGAAGTTTCCGCTACCGGGATGCGAGTCCGCGAAGGCTCAACTCAACCTGGCCACTGCGACTCGATGGAATTTGGAAGAGCTGCGGTGCTTTGAATCCATTACGTTTCTGCACAGGCCGAAATTCCCGGGTTTCTTGGCAGGTGTCTTTCAACTGTCTATCTTCGCAGTGGCAACTTCTGCTTCAAGGGCAACCTCTGGCTGTAGCTGCTGAATCGGAGATGGACATGCCACAAGGTGCTCCTTGGCCTGAGTTGCGACAGCTTCGTCTCGGCAAAGTCTCGGCACGCTAACAAATTGCAAGCATCAACCAACTTCATTTATATGAGCCTTATAGGCCATATGTGAATCACACCCGTTCGTGCGCTGTGGCAGGTGCTGTGCAATGGCAGTTGCTTTCCAAGTTGCAGTGCTTTCCGCTGCTTTTCTGAGTCTCTGGTGTCCTTTCGCGTGTTTTCCTCAGCTGTTTTCCCATATGGGAGTTTCCAAAAATTAGGGGTACCTTACTCTGGGGTCCTTATAATAAGGATCCTACTATGTAGGGTACTATATATGGGTCCCCTATTTTCGGAAACCCCCATATTGTTCTTACACCTCATGGTCCAAGGCTGCCTTCCTTGCAGCTGGTTGAGGAGCTTTGGGCACCTTCAGCAGCGAAGACTGATTTGCACAAGTTTTGGTTGGCATCGATGTGCTAGAATACTGCACGAAGATGTAAGAATAGTTGAAGGAGTGCGAAAGAAGAGTTGAAGCTCCCTGACAGCTATGCGCGCACTGCTTGAGTCTGCGAGGTGGTTTTGGTGTCTGGCTGGACTGGGGTTGTCAATGCCGCAGTGAACGGAGAATATCTGCGCAGAGAGAGCAACCATCAGGGGCGCCCCTGGTATACGAAATCTGACGTGTCGGCAAACCTCTACTACAGCCAGGCCGGTTCCAGAGTGCAACCTGCGTCTGTCCTGTCTGTTGAGAGTGGCAGAAGCCACTCGCTAAGGGTCGGGCAGCCTGGATGATCTCTCGGAGTGGACCGACATCGGAACAGGGGACCATGGCTGTGTGCCCACAGCCGCATGCCCGAAACCCGTCGAACCTGACGGGTTGCTGGGCAGCTCTTGAGGTAAGCATTGTGTCTTTGCCAGAGCCCCTCGACTGCAGGAGGTATTGCTTGCAGTAGCTCGGCATCAGCTTAGGCTGCTGGACCGTGGGCGTATCCCACGCCTCAGGGATGCGTGTGGAGGCGTCGGCGCCAGCGGCGGGGCTCCTGTTGCGCGGGCCCCCGGCCCCATCCTGCGGCGGGGCCTTTGTTCGGACTGGTGAGCTGCACAAGCGTCCCGTCTACAGCCGAGTGGAAGATGCAGGCTTAGTTTTGCATCGCAATCGGGTGCAAGTGCCCTTGGGAGCAAGACTCGGGTGCGTTCTGCCCTGGAGGGAAGCAGCGCTGCTTCCTGTTCTACAAAGCTTCGGACTCCTGCTGGGTCTTGGCAGTGGGCAAGCAAAACGATCGGCCCCCAGCAGGAGATGTGCCCCAACAGCAAGTGCACGAAGGGAATGCTGTACACCTTGCAAGCAGCATCAGGCAGCATCAGGGTCAGCCGAGTGTCAGGTTCTCTTCAAAGCTCTCACAGGAGGTCACAGTCCGGAAGCTGCGTTTGCCTTTGCGAGCTTGCAGCCAAGTGCAGGCACCGCAGAACTTTGCTTGGTGTAGCTCTTCTCCCTTCTCACCACCACCACTTCTACACTACACCCCCTGCGTATGCTCCAGGATGGCTTTGGTCTGCAGGAAACCCGGGCGAAGGGAAGGTGCAGGACAACGTCAAGAGTAAGAGAGAAGATGTTTTCAAGCCAACTACCCTGTCTTGGATCCTCTTACATCATACCGGACCTGCCCCCCTTTGGATCCGTTGTCTTGAGGACGCGTTCCGGCTCCACCTCCGTCGGCTGAGCATTGGAGCCACGCACGTGTTCATCCAATCTGACATGCATCAGGAGGCCTGACAATGCCACAGCAAGGAGAGATGCGATGCAAGCAAGTCAGTTTGCGCTGAGCCGGTGCTGCGGAGCTAAGAACAACCATCCTTTTGTTGCCCGCACCTGTCAGGTATTGAATGGGCGGTACCTTCGCATGGCCGACTCCGATGGGCGCCCTGCATACACCCGGGAGGACGAACCCGTCAAACTGGCCTACAGCAACACGAGACTAGGTAGCAGATGAGTCTGAAGCTGGGCTCTCGCCATGGCTGCAGACATGGCATGCCCGGCTTTGATAAGGGATGGGGACTGGCGCCTGGTGAGAAACGGCTCTCTGTTGGCGTTCAGTGCGGACGTCCGCGCCGCGCGTCCAGAAAACATCCAGGGCCCCTGGCGCGACTCGGCTCACCTTCGACTTTCGCTTGACGATGGCATTGTCGATTCTTCGCCCCGTGATCACCCCGGCAAAGGCATGGCCAACGGAAGCCTGGTCAACTTTGCACAAGCAGCCCTGAGCATCACGGCCACGCTGCTTCAGCAAGTAAGTGTCCGAGGTCGAGCCAAGCTCAGAGCGAGAGTTGGACACTTGAATGTAGATGATACGAACGAGCAGAACGAGCAGCCAAGGCGATATCAACGCGACAAAGTTCCTGGATGCCTCCATTATGCCTGTTTCTCCTGCTCTGCCGGGGTATTCTGTGACTGAAGCATAACACCATCGACAAGGCCAAGGTGAGCAAGCATGATTAAGCTGCGACGTGCACATCCGCGGTCAAGACGAACCAGTTCGAGGGCACAAGCAGAACATCTGACGCACGCACGAGTTCTCATTGAAGCCGATCTTCGGATGTGTCCGAGCATGCCGGTCGTTGAGACGGATCGTTTGCATATTGCATCTGAAGTGAAAGGAGCGCTCGGATGGCGTGAAAGCTCTCTGCATGCAGTGCCGTTGCTGCGATGCTGCTGTCACAGAGATCCTGAGGTTGCGGGCTTTGTGCATGTGTTCATACTTTTTGCGCTCTTTGCTCTTAGTATCTGCCTAAGGCGACTTCTCCGTTCGACTTCAAAGACCGGGATGGTGCCCAGATCGCAGAGTCCACTGTGTACAGCTCGGCGTGCACTCAGCCAGCTTTGCAGCTGCAGGTATCGGGTTTGCGTCTGCGACGCGAGCGCTTCCATCCAGCGAAGCGCGGATGGCAGCACGAACATCACAACAGGCGCTTGAAAGCAGCGTGGCCTTGCCGGGGGGGGGGTTACCTGCGCAAGCCGCAGGTGCTGTGGAGTCGGCCGGCATCATGGCCACGAACTGTGTGCCCCAGCTGACTTTAAAGACTGTCTTGTGCTGATGACTGGTGGCTGATCCTGCCCTGGTCTCAGATGTCTCAGGACTCGCCCTCGCACTACATTCTGAGTCCTCAAGAGGGGCCGCTTCCTCGAGAAATTCCTGCAAGCAGCCGCGAATCCAGACTGGCCATGCTGCAGGGCGGTACTCGAAGTCTTCGAAGCACCAATACCCCAGGAGGGGCCGCAGACAGGAAACGAGGAGGGTCTTTCAACAGGCGGGGCACTTCACGAGAAGCTGTTCCGATCGAAAGTCGCTTCGACGTTTCAAGCAGGTGTCACGGTGGCCATACTTGCTGGTGGTTTGTTCACCTTTGTGGTCTTGGCTCTGGTTTCAGCATACTGGGCCGCTGTCTCAGTGGACAGACCACTGCAATCGACTGCATGAAACCCGCTCTGCTCTGTAAGCAAACGCGGACTTGTCATGTTGTTCAGTAACGCGCATACCGTTGCGGCTTCACGGTGTCAGGTTCGGAAGAAGTTCTTCAGCTTCAAGCCTTCGCAGGTCCTTGGTTTCGGATCAGTGTGGGCATATTCTCCGTGAAATTGTACCGATTCTCAGCCGGAGGTTGCGAATTCCAGCATGGCACCAAAGGAGGGCAAGGACCAGCACATCAGGATGTGCCGAGTTTCGGTTTTAGTCCACTCTTCTGTCCCTACTCCTCCTACTCCTCGACACCATTACGACTATCACCACCACCACCACCGCGACGACGACGACTACTACTCCTACTGACAACAAGTACAGAGGAGATTCTCTGAGAATAAACGTTGGGTTCCTGGTCGAGCTGCCCAAAAGGGTTTTCACTACACTCGTTGTTTTGCATTCGGGGGCTCTCCCTTTATACCTGCTTAGAGCGATGACCATACAAAGAGCCACTTCGTCCCGTCGTCAAAAACAGACACCGACGGGCGGGGGATCTTCCCTTGGAGATGTGGGCGAGTTTCTTTGTCTCTTGTACTTTGGCCTTTAGGCTTGTGTCGGTTTGTTGGTTGGATCCCCAGGTCTTCGAGTCCATGCCACGCAACAGACGGCGTGCCAAGTGGGTGACAAAAAACTACTCCTACTGCTACTGCTGCGGCTTCTGCTCCAACTGCTACTGCTACTGCTGCTGCTACTACGGCTACTAGGACTACTACTACTACTGCTGCTGCTGCTACTACTACTGCTGCTGCTACTGCTACTGCTACTGCTACTCCTACTGCTACTGCTACTGCCACTACTGCTCCTGCTGCTGCTACTGCTACTGCTACTGCTACTGCTACTGCTGCTGCCACTACTGCTCCTGCTGCTGCTACTGCTACTACATACTACTTCCACCACTACGACGACGACTACTACTGCTACTACTAGCATACTGCTACGAATACTGCTGCAGCTCCTCCTCCTCCTCCTGCACCTCCTATTTCTCCTACTACTACTACCACCACTACTACTACTTCTACTTCCACCACTACTATTTCGTATCACTACCCTACTACGACTCCCACTACTACGACTATCATGACCACCACCACCACCACGACGACGACGACTACTGCTACTGCTACTACTACTACTACTACTACTTCTAATACTGCTAAGGCTGCTGCTGTTACTGTCGCTGTTGCTGCTGCTACCGGCGCTGCTGCTGCTACTGCTACCACCACCAACTCTTCTACCGAGAAGGCTTTTCTGACTGCCCTTGCCATCATTGCCAGGAGGGCTTTCAGGCCCGGCCCTCACTGCTGGAGTTCCGCATGCAATTCTGTACAGACCGTGGTGCAACACGAGCAGCATGACCGTGACATCTGCCGACGCTGGTCCTAGACTCCTAGACTTGAGGCCGGTGTCGTCCCAGCCTTGGATGCATGTTTGAGTTCGCTTAAAGGTGTTTCGCTGCACCAGTGACCTGAGCTGGCTTGCTCCTGATCAGGACCCACACATGCTGCAGTACTATGAGTCCTACTACCAGCTGCTTGCCAAGCAATGTCAATGTGGTGCACTGCGAATAAGTGCTTCCGAAAATCGAAATACGAGGTCTTTGGGATACCCACCAGGCACCGCGACGCAGGTGGGCACGGTTGCTTACAATCACTACGGTGTCACTACGTCACATCACAAACGGCTTAGTGATGCAGCCAAAAAACATGATGTGCAGATGCTGGGTGGCGCGAATCAGCAGCAGCACCAGATGGCTCTCCCAGCACCAATGATGCCAGGCCTGGGCCCTGCACACTGTGGGTGCCGTATGTCTTTTGGCGCGGAGCAGCCATCCCTGTTGCAAAATGTTGCAGGTGCTATGATGCAAGCTGCGGGCAGCTTATACTGACCGTTTGCAGTCGGCAGTCGCTTGGGTTTCTCACCAACTCGTTCCGGTCCCGTTGACACTGCCACAGGCAACTGCACTCAGGCCTTTCCGGAGCCTTGCTATTCTAGTGCCACACAGTACTTGCAGAAGTGACGGAAAGGTGTGGCTGGTGTAAAGCGGAGACTCGAATCCGAAGGGAGTAGCCTGAAAGCGACAACGTTTGAGGACTCGCACGTCCAATGCATTTTCAAACGACAAGGCAAGGCAGTGCAACGGGGAACGCACCAGAAACAACCTCCGAACCGATATTGCGAACTTCGCTTTAACTGACAACACTGGGGATACCTGAAGCCCTCGATAAAGGCAAGTACTGAAATATGTTCCGACCTGCAATGCAGATCATTACCTGCATGTCGGCTGCAGTTCTGTGAGAGTGTGAGCCTGCATGCCCTTGCATATCTCCCCACCGAGGACCAGAAACCGAATCGATTCGCAACAGGGTTCTAATCGTGCAATTCCTGTCGTGGTGGTGACATTCCTGCAGCTTAACACCGGGATGCAGAATGAGAGAACCATCTCCCCATGATGACGACAACGATGATGGCCACGACATGGAATCTTCGGGCAGTCTTTAGATCGAGATGTTTTGAGTCAACTTCCTGTCGTGCTCGCACAAGTTTTCTCGCACCCGGGAACGAGGCTCCAGCAGGAACGCCAGCTCTTCAGGACGGCAAGCAGTTCTTGCAAAGGAGGCATCAGGGCCTTGTTTTGACATCACTTTGATCAGTCAGGATTCCGCCTGGATGCAGCCTAGACCGATGTCCGCGCTTCAGCCTTGTGGCACGAAGTTGCTGGCGCGTCTTCTGTAAAGCCATAGAGTACACCAAACAACTCTAAGGGCCCTGCCACTAGCTTTACCGCCCTCGCGACACCCTGGCATGATGGCACCGCCAACTCCGCAGAACCGCTGCAGCCTCATTGGCTCAATGTCCTGCAGCACAGCCTTCACACGTCAGAGGCCTTAGCATCAGACCCTGCAGATAAGACGCGAGGTGGTCGTTCACCTCGAGGAAACGAGACCGGCCGCCTGCCTGCAAAGCTTTCCCTGAGACGATGACCTAGGGCAGATTTTAATGTACAAAACCAAAACTGAGGCAAGAGCTTCGGCGACTTGGTTTCGGAGACAAACAGGCCAGTCCTGCCCTTCTGTTCGAGCCCGTCGCTTGCTCATCGCTTCCGTTCCTGAGGCGGCCGTCCAGGCAACTCCCGCTGTTCACGGCATCTCGAATACAATGGCGACAGCAGACGACAATCAGCTTTTAGCACAATGCGGACTTGAGGACACCTCCTTGCCACGTATGCCTACACCTACCGCCACTCCGCGTGGGGTCGCTACACCACGTGCAGGTGAGGAAGCCACCTTGGCTAAGACCTCAAACCTCTTCGTATATTTGCCAGCAAGCCGCGCCCATCCGTGGCAAAGCTGGCGGGTCATTCGCACCCGTGGCCGCAAAGGCTCTGGAAGACGGCAACACCGAGGAGGCAGCTGCAGGCGCGGTCCCGCCAGATCTGGCCCATCCTAGTCGGTTTCCCAACATGTCAGGCGACGGTGATCTTTAGGTTGCGAAGCTCCGGATATGTGCTCCTCGCTGTCCAGGAGAGGAGGTCACCGTCACCGTCTCCAAGAGCCTCGAGGATGTCAAGGAGCACCGTCCATCCACAGCAGACTCAGCCGCCTGGCAGCATGCGGGAACGTGAGCTCACCCTTTTTCGAATCCGCGTCAAACGCAGCGGATTTCTTAGGTTCTGAGCTGCCTCTCGGAGTCCACCGCAGGTTCAGGCCAGGACGAGACTCCTTCAAAGGAGGGTCTAGGAGTCTAGGAGCTTTTTTTGCGGCGATGCACCGTTCGATGATGCGGGCCGCAGGCAGCCGACCTGGAACAGGCACCCCTGGCACATGGGCAGACCTGCGTCAAAGGGCTGGATGCGTATGGAGGGCTATGCTTCTGTTGAAGCGGGCCGTATGTGAAGTCCTGCATGCTGCATTTCTCGCATTGTGGCCACCTCGTGCAACTTGAGTTCCCTGCTTTGGGTCACGAGGCGACACGGCGAAGCCATCGGATGCAGAGGCGAGTTCAGCCCAGATGCTGGCACTTTGGCTCATTTCGTCAAGCGTTTTTGTGTGGAACGGCAGTGCAGGGCAAGCCGCTGTCTCCGGTCAAAGAGGAGCGAGAAGAAGAGGACCACACGAATTGTGTTTTCCCGAACATGTCGGGGGCATAAGCCCAAAGTGGAGACCAAGGGTGAGTGGCAGTTAATGTTTCGACTTCGCACACTTTTCAGCTTCCCATATCCGGCCCTGCTGTTGCACGGAACGAGGAGGGGAACAAAGATTCACAGACCCCACGCAGCTTCCGGACGTTTTTCAACGACAGGCCCGTGCTTTTTAAGTCGCTACGCAACCGTCTTTGACCTGCTGTAGGAATGAGCTCAATCGGAAGAACTGAAGCTCTGCCATGCCCTTCGATTCGGAAACAATGCAGGGTCACCAAGCTGCTTTCCAACAAGGAGGGTGGGCGGCCCAGCACTCTCAGCCAAAAAGCAACATGCATGTTTTGACTCAATGGTGCCTTGTTTGGTCCACAGCCCTATGCAGGCACAGAGCCCGACCGGAAACTCTTCGGTGCCAGCTTCAGCGGCCCGGAACTTAGGGGCTTGGGTAATTCAATGTGTCAAGGGAAAGGGCGAGACCTTGGCCCGTTGCGCGAAGGCTTCTTCGGTGGCAGCGGAGAGTGCTGCCCTCAGCTGGTCCTGAGAATTTAGGTCCTTCAGGACAATAAGATCGCTGCGAACTTGAATTCTTGGGACAACAATAATTATGAGCGCTGCGAAGAGAAGCTGCCGCCAAGGACTGGCGATGCATCCGTGTGAGCCTGAGGAAGCCGAGAAGTGTAGTGTGGCAGGGGCATGTTTCTAGACCACGGAATGATGTCACCACCCAGGTTGCGGCCAGCAAAGAGGTCCCAGCAGAGGTGCGGCATGGGTCAGAGCAGCAGGGAGTTCTTCAGACGAGACACAAGACTGAGATGTCGTCGCTTGAATGTTTGCTCAATTTACGACGACCTGTGTTAACCTCGATGGAAGGTAGTGCGAGAGAGATACAGAGAGAGAGAGGGAGAGAGAGAGGGAGGGTTATTTGTCGTCCTGATCTCAGCTAGTGACAAATATGAGGACGCTGCGTTAAGGACATCGGGGAACATCCCAAGTGTGATCGCTGTCTTTCTAGTTTGTTCATATGTGCTCGTTTTATTGCGCATGATACATCATCTCGGGGCCTGTGGCTGAGTGATTGCACTTCGTCCTTTTCATCATGCAGTTGCCTTCGCTTGCATTGCAACATGTTGGCACCCGCAACCGTCTCGGGCGCACCTGCGCGCGGTGTAGGGGTCAAACCCCTACACCATAACCCTGGCGAAAGAGGGAGGGAGAGAGGGAGAGGGTTCACAACAGGGGTGCGCCTCACGGCGCGGGGTGTCTGACCAGCACCCTACGCCCAGGAGAATAGAATAGAATAGGGAGAGGTTCACAGTGCTCCCACAAGGCCTGTAATACACGGGTGGGCCATCGGCCCGGGGCAGCTTAAGACGCTCCTCATGCCCGGGAGCGAGCGAGAGAGAGAGAGAGAGAGAGAGGGAGAGAGAACCGGTAGCCATTTTGGCTCAAGTACTGCACCCTTTGCTTTGGGGGACTGTTCCCCCCTGGCATCGGTGGGAGAGACGCGGAGTTGGCCCGGGGGTTGTACCCCTTGGGAGAGCTTCCGTTGTTTTTGCCAGCAGTGCTTGAGTCACACGCCCGCCGCATCTGTCCTCAAGAGTGGCCCCTTCCGTTAGGGTCGCTTGCGCCGCCATTGCAGTGCGCCAACACCGTGAAGTTTGCGCCCCTTCGAGCTCCACGCTACTGTGGGGGACCTCGGTGTGCAACGATCCCCAACGGCATCCACCCTGAACCTTATAGGGACATTGCCTACAGCGCCTTGGCCGGCATCTGCCCGGGGGGGTACCTCGACCTCCTCGACAACCCCATGGGCTCCGTTGTGTTTTCCTTTGTCCGGGGTGTGCAACGTGACACTACACCGACCTCACCGAGAAGGCGACCTTCGAACCACTACCGGAGCCTTGCAAATGGCTCATAGCAACAACAGAAGGGGACACACCCCCACAGGCCGCCAACAGGAGGGCAAACGCGCGCGGACAAGGGGGGCTTGCTCCCTTTGCCCCTAGCCCTGACGAAAGAAAGAGAGAGAGTTCACACATTTCGACTAATGTGTAGTGTTGATGACGACCTGCTCATAGGCATGTTTTCTGGGGCAAAACGCTAGCTGCTCTCAAACGGAAAGTGCAAAACTGGGGGGCTCCGAGTGAACCTGTGCTACTTTGTGAGCATGTGTGTGTGTGTGTGTTGTGTTGCGGAAGGAGCCGCCCAGTTCCCCCACGAGCTGTAAGTAACAAACAAACAGCGAGAAAGGGGGCCAGAGCTGGTGTGAGCCTGATGAGGCCGGGGGTTCGCTAGGAATTAAGGGGGTGTGCTGCTCAGAACCCTCGGCATCATGGAAAACAGCTTTCACACAGTAACCAAACAACCAGTGCGCGCTCGCGCGCGAGGGGTGCGGTTGCCGTGCTCCTTCGGCTGTGTGGAAGAAGAAGAAGAAGAAGAGTTTGCGAACGGGGAAGTTGCACGCCGACGTTTGCGCTGGACGCAGGACGCACAGGTCTCCTTCGGGGGAGGGTGCGGCGTGCCCTACCTTTAGCCTGCAGCAAGCAAGTTTGTGTGTGTGTGTGAGCACGTGCGCTCGTCAGGGGGTGTACTGTGAAAGCCAGCTAAAATGTATGCATCTTTCTGTTGCGCTGCCGCGTGAGGGTTGGAGTCCTTGACGGGACCTTTACAGGTCACAGGTCATGGGTTTCCGATCTTACCGCAGTCCTTACATAGATCGTGACGTTTTCCCATGGTTGTATAGAGAAGGTTGCTAAGTACGGAAGCAGCAAAAACCACCCCAAAAACCATGGCTGGCCTGGCCGACAAGACATTCTTGGTTAACCATCCCACATGCCTGCTCCCGCTTCTCTTTCCCGGACCGAGCCCACTAGCAGACTCGGGCCACGTGACGCCCAAACGCTGTTGTTCTCCCTATTCTGCCTGTTGACATGGATGATTGAACTGAACTCGGATCGCACTAAAAAGAAGCTCTCATTGTGTTTGCTTGCGGCAGGCAGGCACCGAATCAGCACCTGAAGAAAGCAGCGCACCAGCTACATCCTCCGAAGCAGAGGCAACTTGACGAACTGCACAGCTCGTCATGCTTGTCTAGACTCTAGACTCACCAGGAGAAGCGAGCTGAAGAAGAGCGCTTGGCACAAGAGGCTGCTGCAAGAGAAGCTGCGGAGAGAGCAGCAGAAGAGGAGCGTTTGGCAGCCGCAAAAGCGGCCGCAGCTCAAAAAGCTGAAGAGGAGCGCTTGGCACAAGAGGCCACTGCAAGAGAAGCTGCTGCAAGAGAAGCTGCGGCGAGAGAAGCTGCTGAGAAAGCAGCGGAGGAAGAGCGTTTGGCAGCAGCAAGGGCGGCTTCCGCTCAGAAAGCTGAAGAGGAGGCTGCTGCCAGAGAAGCTGCTGCAAGAGAAGCTGCTGAGAGAGCAGCAGAAGAGGAGCGTTTGGCGGCAGCAAGGGCTGCTGCAGCTCAAAAAGCAGAAGAGGAGGCTGCTGCCAGAGAAGCTGCTGCAAGAGAAGCTGCAGAGAGAGCAGCAGAAGAGGAGCGTTTGGCAGCAGCGAGGGCGGCTGCAGCTCAGAAAGCTGAAGAGGAGCGCTTAGCACAAGAGGCTGCCGCAAGAGAAGCTGCTGCGAAAGCAGCAGAGGAGGAGCGCTTGGCAGCAGCAAGGGCGGCTGCTGAAAAAGCTGAAGCGGAGCGCTTGGCACAAGAGGCTGCTGCAAGAGAAGCTGCTGAGAAAGCAGAGGAGGAGCGATTGGCAGCTCTGAAAGCACAAGGACAGAGCTTTTGCAAATCCCTTTGTCACGTCATCTTTCGCAACGCACGGCACATGTTCAGGCTCTGCACACTGTGCTTTGGCAGGTGTGTCGCCCAGAACCGGGAAGGCACCGCCACCGCCCCCTCCGAAAGCCGGTGCAGAGGCCCAGGCAAGCAAAGAGGCTTTAAGTACTTCAAGCGTAGGGCGTGGATGCAACTGAAAGGCAAGCCGCAGCGGATCCAAATCCTCCACGAAGGACCGCCTCACCCCTCTCGCGCTCACTGCATAGACGCAGCGCTGGGGGTGGGCGCATGCTGCTGAAGACTACGAAATTCCGCAGGACGGGGGTGAGCGGCGACCGCCTCCACCACCTCCCAAGGGCAAGCCGGCGGTGAGGCACGAGTCGGCGGGAGAGTTCAACATCAAAAGTTGAGGTTCATTCAGATTCCATGAGGCCGGGTCCTCAAATCCTCTCGGTGGACACAGACCCTGAAGCGACCATCGGGTCGGCCTCGGTGCGGCCCTTACTCCACACCATGAACTCCTTGCTGCTACAGTGTTCTTGCTGTTGGCTTTCTTGGATCCCATGGAGGCAAGCCCAGCCGGTTGGCAACGTGCAGACCATTCCCTTGCGATGCTGTGGCAGTCGCAGCAGCAAACCCCGACGGGCAGCGCAGCCCCGTCGCCGTCATCCCAGTGAAGCCAGCCCGAGTATACTCTATTCGTATGACACGTCCACTGCATTCAAGTCCCTTTTGACATTCCAAGCTTCCGCTCAAGGAAAGGTTCACGTAGGCCCCAGAAGCTCCTCGAAAGTCCGGAGTTCTGGGACGCCATGGCTAGCGAGACAACAGACGTTGCAGCCCCTGAGGCGGTAAAGTATCTCCCGGAGCTGCGGGATTTTGTGGTTCGGGGCCACACCTCAGTGGAATGGCGAATGGGTCAACTCAGGCTCCTGCGTCAAGTACTGGAAGAGGAGAAGGAAGCGATGCTCCAAGCACTAGGCTCCGACCTTTGTGTGGATGAGGCGCAGGCACTTCTTTTCCAGATCGGCTGCTTGTTCGGAGAGATAGATCACTTTCTCGACAACATCGCCAGCTGGAGTGCCATGAAGAAGGTCAGCACACCTATGGTGTTGCAGCCTGCCTCGTCCTATGTGCAAGCACAGCCAAAGGGCGTGGTGCTCATCATCGGAGCTTGGAATTACCCCTTTGTGGTAACACTTGGGCCTATGATTACTGCCCTTGCAGCTGGGAATTGTGTGCTCCTCAAGCCTTCAGAGTTGTCGCCAGAGTCAGCGCAAGTGATGCACCGCATCTGCACTCGTCTTGATCAGCGAGCAGTGCGTTGCTGTTTGGGTGGTGTGGAGCTTTCCACAACCTTGGTTGCCCAGCCCTTTGATCACATCATATATACAGGATCTACGCGCGTGGGCCGGCTGATAATGGCAGCCGCTGCCCCGAATCTTACCCCGCTGACGCTGGAGCTGGGTGGAAAGTCTCCTGTCGTGATCTGTGGAGGCATTGACATCAACGAGGCATGCCGAAGGATCGCAGTGGGGAAGTTCGTGAATTGTGGACAGACCTGCATCGCGCCAGCCACCTGACTGAAGTGCGAAGTCCCACAACGAAGCACCTCAACCTGCCCTAAGCCTCAAGCACGAAAGGCCAACGTTTTCTAAGCTCTGAGAAAGAGTATTCTCTAACCAGCTGCTTCAGCCCAGTATAGCCCAGTACTGAGGATTACATGTTGGTGGAACGCGGAGTTCGTGATGAGGTTGTTGCATGTCTCAAGAAGGTCATCACGGAAATGCTGGGTGACAGCACGCAGGCACCACAGAATCTTAGCCGCATGGTCAACCAGCAAGCAATGGAAAGATTGCACAAAGCCCTTCGCGAGCCGCACGGTGGTCACGTGGAGCTTGGGGGGGCCTCGCCTCCGCCTACCACCATCAAGGAGGGCCAGAGATACGTCCAGCCGACCATCGTGGTGGACCCGAAAGCTGACAGCACGATCATGCAGGAAGAGCTCTTCGGACCCGTGCTGCCAATCCTCAGCGTGGCGTCCTGCGACGAAGCCGTCAGTTTCATCAACAGTCGGCCCAAGCCCTTGGCACTCTACGTGTTTGCCCCTCAGCCAGTGGTGGATCATGTCATGCAGAGCACCAGCTCTGGGGCCATTTTGGTAGGTGACACGGCCGTGCACAAGGGCAATCCCAATGTGCCCTTCGGCGGGATCGGTGGCTCTGGCATGGGCAGTTGCTATGGTGAGTTTGGCTTCAACGAGCTTTCGCACCAGCGTGCCGTGATGTACCGGCCCCTCTTCCCGCCCTCCCCTATCAGCCTTCCGGCTGACTCCGCTCTGAGCAAGATCTTGTGGTTCTGGGTCACGATGAAGCCCGCGCACTCCAAATTGCTGAAGCGAGTAAGTGTGCTGATCCTGGGCTTGCTTCTCCTAGTCATCACAGGCAAACTCCGGCAAAGGTTCCTTAAATAAACTTTAAAGATGCACCAGTAGAGCTAGATCTGGCTCGTGGACGCAATTGGCGTCGCGAGCATGTGTTTTATGGAGTTGCCTTTAAAGTTACGGCCGCCTGGAGCATCTCTGGCAGAAGGACAGACGCAGGTGGTTGCATAACGTTCACGCTTGCCAGCATGCGTTGCAGTTGGCTGTAAGAGAGCATGTGTCGAAGACCACCGCAAACGTTGTACGACACGATCTGAACTGAGGCCGCTGGCAAGCATGGCAAACGCGGATGACGCCCAGGCTTCAGAGGGCAGCGGCGAATTCACTTTCAAGATCGTGTCCTTGGACCGAACGACATGCAGCGACGGAATCGATGTTTTGCAGGCGAGGGCCGAATCACCGGCGGGCTCTGCACCAAACACAGACCGAATGATGTCAAGACCGTGGCTGGACTGCGTTTGGTTCATGTGGTTTGGTCAACCGTTTGAGTAGGCCAGCTTTCTACATGAGCATGCGAACAATGAAATCATAGCCCAATCTCAATGGCATGCGGCCGCAGTTTGTCGTTCCATGCCCTGACCCGATGCCCCGTGGCGGCAGCTGTCCAGGCCCCGTGGTCCTGGCCCGATGATGCCCGGCAGCTTTCTCGAGCAGAGCGACTGCCAAGATGCATTGGAAGGGCACAGCCCGGAACGCTGAGGTCCTGGCTTGAACGTCGAGACCGACTTTGAAGACACCCTGAAGTCGAACGCCTCCTTTACGTGCAATGCTCAAGGATGTCAGGGCTGCTGCCGAACGGTCTTTCAGGGTAGTCAGCTCCCAGGTCAGATTCGCCAAGCAACCGCAGGACTTGCGCGCAAGCAGTCACTTCTCTCATCAACAAGTGAGATGTCCTCCATTCTGTTATGGTCTTGCTTTTCCTGGTCTGTTACACTGTTACATTTTGGATCAAGCTTGCCCGTGGTCTGCCCCCTTTTTACATGCACAGGCGCAAAAGCCGGAGTTTGCTGTACGCTGGGCTTTGCTGCTTCATTCACTTTAAACCTACTTGTATATGTATGTTCTGTATGCGTATAAGCTGGCATATTATGCATTTTTATATAAAAATATTTGTGTACATACACACACAGTCTCTCTCTCTCTCTCTTTGTCCTTAGCTCTCTCCTTACATATATATATATATATGTATGTATATATGTATGTATGTACATATAGATAGAATGTACCATTATACTCTCTACCTATCTATCTATCTATCTATCTATCTGTTTATCTATCTAATTTATCTATCTGTCTATTTATCTAAGTGTATTCATTTATACACTACACTACGCGCAGGTGAAGTCCCAGGTCTCAGCTTCGCCGGATGTCGCCTTCATAGTGCAGAGGCCCAGGCATGAGGGGTCAAGGCTGAAGGGCTTCTTCCCTGACTGTGCCTGTGTCAGGCATGGCCCTCACACCGCTGTTGCTCGCTGCTGTCTTTGCGGCATCGAGATCTTTTCGACTTGATGCTGACTCGAACTTCGAAGGCCTCGAAACAAGTGATCAGTGCTGCTGACAGAGCACAGGTTTGACTACAGACCCGTCCACTGCATCCTAGTCCCTGTGGTCAGGCGGGATTGACACCAAGCGCGAGTGGCCATGGACGAGGACAGACCTGAGACTATGAGATTCATGGAGACCCTGGTTTGACAAATCGTTGTAGAGGAGATTGACGGTGGATGAGGCGGCGATAGAGAGGTGGCGAAGAGACGGCGGCGACCTGCCTACTTCTTCCAGTGCGTTGCTGGAGGCGGCGAGAGTATTACATAGATACATATATATATATATATATATATTACAATACACGCAACGTATATTTACGGAATGGGGCGAGGCAGTCGGAGGAACAGAGCAGGAGTGCCAGTGCCTTAAACAGTTGCATTGGAGGCCTCAGGCAATGCATCTCGTGCACCTCCGCTTCCACCTGCCTGGTCCAAGCGGCTGACCTTCTTGAGAGCATTGGGCAGCGGTGGTCACGGAAGCCACGTCTGCAAGAAGCGGGGAGGCTTGATGATTGGACGAGGAGGACTCGTGTGCCGTTGTGGCAACCGAGGAACTGCATACCTCTATGTAGTTTCATGCGGTTCGTCGAATATCACGGTGACGGTGAAGCTGCTGCACAACAAGAGGCTGCAGGCTCGGTCCAGGAAGAAAAGCTACCCACAGAAGGAATCATCGATATGTATTCGCAAGGACATGCGAGAAGTCAGGGCGATGCGGGCGATGTACGGGGTTTCGGACTTTTGCATCTCCACATTGGGTGCACCGGACTACATCGACACCGAATCGGGCAACTTGCTCGAAACTCGCTGCTTTGGTGTGAAATCGCATGAGAGCCTCGCAGATGGGTTTGCAGCAAAGGTCTATGGATCATGATGCCGTTTCTGAATTCGGGCAGCCTCTTGCAACTGCTGGAGAAATTGGAGAACTGTCCTGCGAAGTGTCGGTGTAACAGCCGGATCTGTTGGGAACGCCTCGGAGCTCCTTACAGCATTCCCTTTGTCACTAGGCCTTGAAGGCGACGTCTCAAATCCGAGGATGCGCAGTCTGCCAAGTATTAATTTTCCGGAAATATAGGGTTTAGGGTTTAGGGTTTACCTTGAACTTGAACTGAGCTGACTTGGGCAGTTTCACGGACAGCTGCAGTGCAGCCCTCAAGCTCAGGTTCAGGCACTGCTTTATCAAGCAGCTTTGGGTGTCGGAGCCCTTCACTCACAAGGGTACCACCACATGGACTTGAAGCCGGAGAATATCATGCTGAATTGCCGGGGTACCAATTGCTTCTTGTCTTCATGCAAGACCTTTTGAAAGTCCATGCAGTAGCTGAAGATGGCGCTGGCGAGAACAGGTTTTGCTGAAGTTATCGACCTGGGCATTGCGTGCCATCCGAAACTGTGCAAATGGTCCGGCACCTCGGTGCTTCAGATCGGTCAAGCGCAGTGTCCGGAGTAGAATGTGCTAGACCATCGTTGTTCCGGTGGGCGAACGAAGCCCACGGAGCTGAGGAACCATCGGCTTCATCGCGCCAGAGGTCTGGACTGGCACAGGCCTTGGACTGGCGGCCAATGATGTTTGGTCCCTTGGGGTGGTCTTCTACGAGCCCCCTGGCCCCGGAAGATAGGATAGGGAGGGGTGCACGATCTCCACTAAAAGCGCAGCCTAGAAGCCTAGGATGATGTATGGGCGCAAGCCACCGTTCCACGGCGATCGGAATGGAAGAGAGACAAGATCATATATCCCCACGACTGGGTTGGCCAACGCTTCTCATGATGTTGTTGATCCTGCTTTCCAGCTGGAGCGTTGGAAAGTCTACCGCTGTCCCTTCAGGATAGACGATGCAATTCCGAAGCCTCGCATGCCCATTGACCACTTGATTGAAAATATGCCTCTCGCTTGCCAGTGCGAGTTGCAGCAGCGACATGCAGCGCTTCAGCCTTGTGTTTTGCCACTTGTAGGTTTCGATAAGACCTAAAGCTTTGTGGACATCGGACTGTTACACACTACAATCGCTATCATTGCATCCTCCGGTTCCGGCGCATAGACACAAGCCTGGAAGCGCTGTCAGATCGTCAGGCTCAGCCACAATCCATCGAGACGCCCGACGATGAGTTGCCTGTCTGAAACGCGAAGCATCCTAAGTTCGAAAGATTGATTCTTAAGAAGTGCTTCGTTTGGCTCCCTGTCTGCTGTGTTCTAGGTGGGCTGAAGGATCGGCTTCGCCGCATCATCCTTAATTCAGATCCAGGACAGGACGTGCTGGAGCTTCTCTCAGCTTCTATCGGCTTTAAAAATCCGTGGCTACGGTCTCACCGAGGGCTTTGCCGCCTCGAACTAACATTCTCGCCGTGCCCAGGATATGATCAACATGTCTCCACTTGAGCGAGGCCGGCAAGTCTTGTCTTGGTCCTCTGGGCGGGAGAACTACTTGTCAGTTCTGCGCACAGGCGCGCAACAGAAGCTGCCGCCCTGTCTGCTTCAATATGAAGAACCTCGGCGAAAGCAACCGTTACCAAATCCAAGATGGAGTGCTGAAGCTGTGTTGAGTCATTGAGGACCCCGAGCATGTCAGGGACATCGGTGACCGGCCAGCTCACCGCATGGACTGTGCTAGCCCACCAAGGCCACGAATAAGCTGCGGCAATCATTGATGCATGTTGATATCTAGACAGGGGTGTCGGACGGAGCACCTGCAGGTATGCCCAGGGATACTTCCGGTGTGGCGTATGTGCCAGCTGCAACCCCTGCTGCAAATGCAACGTGAAGCGTAAGGATAAGCCACTTGGATGCAGTCGGCCGTCAAAAATGCCTAACTCGCCCTGGCTGGTCCTGATAGACGGGTCACCAGTCCAAGGCTGGAGAAAGCATACTTTCGCACCTGCTCATCAATTTATTCTTGCAGTCGTCCACGGTTCAGCGGTTGTGTGTAAATCCTATTTTGCGGAAGCAAGCTGAGGCATGTCTACATGTGAATGACAACAGCCGGGCTGCCACGAGCTGTGGGCACTCGGTCTTTTTGGATCCCGTGCAGCCGTGCCCGATGTATGATTCCGGCGACGACAAGTCGAGCGAAACAAAAGGTGACGGAGCGACTGTGCCAGTATCAGGTACGAGTTAAGGGTGGCTGTGTCCTCTTTCAAAGTGGTCCGGGTCAGTTGGGCGTCCAACACAAAGGAAGGCTACTTCTGCGAAGTCCCCATCCAGAAGACCCCGCCAACTGACAGTATCACAGTATATCCTAGTACTCATTTGGTGTCCCTTGGGGCCGAAGGACCCACAGCCTGGGCGGCTTGGCTGCGGCTTCAGCGAATGTGGTGGCAGCGGATAAGAAGGCAGAAAGCTGGGCAGAATCCGCTCCGAATGGAACTCCTAATTGTTGGGGCTGCTGTCCAGGCCGGAAAAGTTGGAACACCACAACATTCGGCTAGATCCACGGCGCAGCTCGGCTGTAGTTACAACTTGTGGCCACCGGAGAGGTTTCTGGGGGGCTTCGCGCTCAAGATCTCTCCAAGGGCCAGCAAACCACCAGATCAAGATGTCATCAAGTCTCCCGAGCGTTTTTCCCCGCAGGGTTCGTAGACCCTTCAAAAATACTGTTGAGTAGCACTCAGAGTTCACAAGCAAGATGCACTTCAGCTGCTTGGGTGGTGTAATTCATCAAGCTCGGCCACGCGGGAATCCGATGGGGGGGGGGGCAGGGCGGCCCAATAATTGAATGACAACGCAGGTCCCGGCCAATCAGAGCCAATGTGCCGACAAGGCTCGTCGGTTTGTTGCAGTTTGCAATCATGGACGAGAAGTGGGTCTATCTCGAAGATGGTCCACAGGAGTCCGCGACAAGAACAGATTCAAGCGCAGGAGCTGCACGGGAATGCTTTTTGGATGTGGCTGGCCTTTTCGTGGGCAGAGGTCGTCAGTTCGTCCGTTGGTGTCAAAAAGCGTTGCAGGACAAACTGCTCGGCCACACCCTCCCTCCGCAGTGACGGCTTGGTCTGAAACTTTTTGATCTGGCTGAGCATGGATTCGTCCAGATAGTATGTTCCTGCAATGCAAGCATAGCTACGTTTACAAAGTAAGTGACCTCCTGAACATCCGACAGCACCGAAGTGATTCGCTAAAATACAATCACCGAATGTTGCCGTTAATCATTTTGCAATCAGATTGCCTGGAGATTTTGTAGCAGGGTGCAAAGTCTTCCAAAGTTGAGCCTCGCAAGATCACACCAGGCAGTTTGTTCAAGTGACTTTCTGTTGCTTCCTTCGTGTCTTGTGAAGGCTCCTGGGAAACTTGTGCACAACAAGTCTAATTAAGGGCCCTTGCGACATGCGATGTTTTGCAGGTTAGCAGCGCCTGCGGTTTCAACCCGCCCTGATGGGCACCTCGAGCTGACAGCCGAGCTTCACCTCGAGCCGACCGACTTTTAGAGAACTGTGCAAGACAAGTGTGATGCTTTTTGATTGTTTTGATTTTGCTTGCAGGGTTTCGGTTTGGGCAAAAAGAATTTATGCACATGGCCGAACATTACGGTCTCGCCTCGGCTGGTTCGAGCCAGAACATGCAGTTGTTTCACGAATCTACGCATGTCTGCCAACCTATCGGTGGTGTCAGATAGGCACCGAAGGTCTCCGAACTTTTTTATTGGCAGCTCGCCATTCAGCATAACATAGACTTGCGAAGCCGTAAACGCAGGTGGAGTTCGTCTCGATGCAAAGGTTAGTTAGATGGCTGGAGGCGCTCATGCCGGAGAGTCTTTGGGTGCGCTGACACGGTTGTTGCATGACATGAGTGTAGCTCTGCAGCCAGTATTTCGTATAGACCTGGAAAACACCGGCGACATGTGTAATTTGCCTGTCAACACTGATATTTGGTGTGTTGTTGCCAGGCATAGAGCGGCGAACCGCCCGCTGTTGGGAGTCTGGGTCTCAGCATGCTCTGATTCATGAACCAGTGATAACCAGTGTCCGTCGGGGTTCAGCCGCCCAGTGTTTCTTGGTGTCACGCTGCTCACTGCAACTACGGTGCTCAGCTGCTACTGAGATATGGCAGCGTGTTCATTCCTGAAGATGACCAGTGTGATGAGGCAAGTGAATGCAAATCATGCAGTTCCAGAGTCTGCACAAGCCATCATGACATGCAAGATCACTATTGCCAGTGTTGAGTCGCAAGTCTAGCGCTCGCAGCTGGAGTTGTCAATGCTGGTATTCACGTGATCGCTACAATACCATTTGCCAGTATTTCCACCAACGACGACGCGCCGACGGGCGCGCCTTCGACCGCGATAACGACAAAGGCCATCGCCACCACCGACGACGGCGTCGACGGGTGCGACAACGACAAAGACCACGACATCGACGACCAACGCCTATCGAAAATGCACTACTTCGTTTACAACTCCGGCTCCGGTGATTTTTTGGTATCGTTGCTGCCTGTGTGGGACCTTTTTTTCCAGCATGAACTGCAGGTATAGCACACTCGCATTTGGGCCCGGTTAAGTTACCACGCATGACCTAAATGAGCCGTGCAAGATCGCACTACTCGCTGGATATTCCTGCAGGATCCGAAGACAGGCAAGTTTGCCCCTCTCGGCAGTGTCCAGGTGGCCCCTTGTTTCATTCAGATTCGAGTATGCTTCGGTACATAGATTCACTGGGATTTGTGTTGTGCACAGGCCTTTCGCTGGAGACTACAACAAACGTTCATCACGCAAAGGGAAACCAATATTTGCAGTGATATTCGCTGGAGAGTGTCGAGTGATAACTCGTAGATGCGCAGCAATGAACCCTGTCTCTCAACATATCTGGGGCCATCCACTCAGGTTGTCGCCTGGTTCGGAGATGCTAATGATGCTAGCCTGCGGAATGACATCACTGAGGAGGCCGGGCAAGAGATCGGTTTTTGGGCTAGATATCAGACGGAGCTTCAGAAAGACCGCAGAAGGTCCAGCGCATGCTCTCTCCGTCGCAGCGTTCTGCGGTGCCGGCCATGGCAAGGCACTGAACAGACATGGAGCCATATCTTTAGCGTTTGGGATTTTTCCGGTTGAATACAAAAAAACTCCAAAGGACTACCATTATCACGGCGCTGAAGTTATTCCTATGCAGTCCGTGAACATCCGTCAGCTCATCAGCTGAAGGCTTTGGGGCGACCCGGCCAAGTTCCGGGTGAAACAGCTGGAGGCCCTCCTTGAGAACCCAATACAGAAAAGTTGTGTGGATGCCGGATGCCATGCAGTACACGAGCACAGGTGACGTACGAGCAAGACTGGCTTGGTGATGAAAGGCCTGCAGCTGCACCGCCCCAGAGGGTGTGGCGACGAAGCATTCTAGACATTCCGGCACAGCCATTGAAAGACTGCTGCTGCTGCCTAAGTTACCCAGAGCCCCGCAGAAACCACTGCACATCCGCCGGCCGAAACTCCAGCTTCAAGTTTTTGACAAAGGGCCGATCATGAAGCGGTGGCACAGTGTTGTAGTGGCTATCCTGAGAACACGACGCCTATGCAAAGCCCAAGGTTTGCCATAGCGAGGCAACGCATGCAAACAGATTTGTTTGACACGTTGTGCCAGTTTTCAGGTATTGCAAGCCGCCCGGCCCGACATCTGTCTGACCCATCATGAAAGTATAAGCAACACTGCCAGCTCAACCTCGCGCTGCTTTGAAAAGCGTCCGACTGCAAGAACGGGCGCAGAATTAGATGTGAGTTTCGTGTGCCCCCGCGGCATGGAAGAGACGGGATCATGACAGCCTGCCCTGCTCCACCGACATGGGGTTACTGGCAACTCAGCTGAAGTTTGGAATCGGTTTCCCATGAGTTTGCACGGTTTCTGCGATGAATGCAATGGCAATGTAGAAAGGCCCCGACTAAACCATGCAGCACGATTGTGCGAAAGCAAAACGGTTGCGATTTATTGGCAGCCAGCTGTGTTTGTACCTGTGCAGGTAGCCTGTAGAATATTGAGACTGCTGACATTGAAACACTAGCTTGATGTACCGCTGCGCAAGGCCGATGTACCAGACGTCACACATCCCTTACCCGGGCGATGTGGTGCTGATGCCGGTGGTAGCCTTGCGGCCACTTGGCTTCGATTCGAGCTAGGCCCGAAGAGATTTGCAGAAGACGGCTTAGTGCTCACGCATGCAACTGGCTCAGGTTTACTCATGACAAGATCCGTCCAGTCTTCCGGAAAGGCAAGCATCGAGGCCAACCAATCTACGAACTGGTCAACGACTTGTTCCGACGGCGGGTCGACCCCACGGCCCCCTGGTCTGAGACATGCTCCTTTTGTCATTAGCTTCCGCGTGGAAGATGCAGATGTGCTTCTGTAGTGGGCAGTCAAAACAAGGCCAGCTTGCCTCCGCTGGAGATTTACTTCCACAATGGCTTTTGGCGATCGCTGAACAACCGGCGCCTTTGGGCTTTAAAAGTGTCTCGGCCCATCACAAGAAGAGGTTGCTGCTGGCTTTCGGCTGGGTGGTGTTGCTGCCGATCTCAGGCCTACATGGGCCTTTCCGGTGATTTTCAGCTGATGGTGAGAGCAACCTGTTTGCATGAAGTGCTCATAGCGTCTTGACATCGCAGACGTCAGACTCGTCGGGTGCATGCCAGCTCATCGTCTAGCTACATCGAGGCTTGCATATCAAGATGTACCAAAGCCTCCTTTCTTGAAAAGAATTCAACTCATACGGATGGCCTCTCGGTCGAGATCACGGGGGACGAGGCAGCGCTGCAGGAGCATCCAAAAACACACAGCACACACGTGGTTTCAGTTGCTTCTTGAGCAAGAGGAGTGCTGTTGTTTCCTAGACTCTCTTCAGTATTGTTGTTGAATGCCCCATCGGTTTGAGACGAATGAAGTGATGCACAGGAGGTCTTCCACAAGTCGACTCCACAGCCTTGCCGATACTTCCAAGCAGGCGAAGGGGAGTGCCTGCGTGGAGAAGCTTGCCAGAAGAGAGAGGAAGAGGCTGTGCAAAGTGCAAGCTTGCAGTGATTACAAAGCTGAGGACAGCTGTCCTTTTGCACATGAAGATCCAGACGAGGAATTACTTTTGGAGGCATGAGATGCACAGCAGAACTGTACCGAGAGCTCAGATTTCGGTCATGATTTTCGTACCCACGTTAGTGTCGCGTCAGCTCAGATTTGAAGCATCACGGCATGCACGGACAGAAACATTAGTCGAACTAACCAACCTACCCACAAAGAACTTTAGAGCGTTCATTCGATCTAGACGAGACTCACCAATTGCTTGATGAAGATGATGAAGGACCAACACAACCGGACAGCAGCCAGACGACTGCTGACGCGAGTTTATGCGACCCTGGGCCCGATCAGGCCAACACATGTAGAAGGTTTGGTCTTGCACGGTGCGTTTGCCAGCGCATCTCTCGACTGAGTGTTACGACCTGAGGAAATGCCTTGGCCAAGCATGGTCGGCTTCGTTCAGCCCGGAGCAGGTGGCGGCTCGTGTTAAAGTCTAGTTTTGATCTTCGATAAGATTGGGCAGAGTTGCGCCATGAATGCTACTGGCATGTGAGGAGATGGAAAGTGAGACCGAGGGCCAAGAGCCATCAGAGCCTCAGAGAAAGTCTTCACCGTCCATCCCTAAAGATCCGATCCAAGCATTGTTCGCCTATGTGGACTCCGCAGAGATGGATGTGCCGATGGATGATGGGAAGAGGCAGAAGGATTGCTCTACAGGCACGGCCCCAGTCGCGGTCGTCTTCTAAATGTTCACTTCGAATTGAGACCCTCAGGGATGACCCCCCACTTCCTCAATAAGACTCTCTATTCGGCAGTAAATTATAAAATCATCGACCTCTATTATCCAGCAGTAGAAGGCTAATGTGTCATCGCATTTACTTCCAGCAAGCAAGATTCAGATTTTGTTCGCTTCGGCCACTTGGATTCTGCAACTGGCTGCGTGGTTGCAAATGCGTTCCGGGAGTTCAAGGTCAACATGAACTTGCTGGGGACTGAACGAAAGTAAGTAGCGGAGTAGTTCGCAGTAGGTGCTCCTGTGACCAGAGAGAAGCTATAAACCATTATAAAAAACTGTGAGGTTACGCTACAACGTTTGGATGGTAAGACGACATATGTGCAGTACTCAGCGTAGTCTTTTGGGGGTAGTACTACGGGACCGATTGATGCGACAGAAGCGAAACAGGGGACGCTGAGATCAACATGTAGCTGTGAAATGTGCGCAAATCGGGTGGATGGACCCTTTGGAGCAGCATGGCAAATTATCAGCGACCAAGACGGAGAATGGTGCACGCAACGAATCGATCCCATTCTAAACCCAAGAGATCGGAATCGTGGGCACAACTTGTCAGCTGTGTGCCGCATTTACCCGCCGTCAGGTGTGCCAGCCAGGCCTCCAGTCTCTTGGACTCAAATGGGAGTTTCAGAAAATTGGGGTAACTTATTTTGGGGTCCTTATAATAGGGATCCTTTTATTTAGGGTACTATATCAGGGTCCCCTATTTTCGGAAACCCCCAAATCGGGAACTATGTAGTGAGCCAGTGGATCAACAGGACGTCAAGTAACAAGTATATCGTGAGATGATCTAAAGTTTTCGATGCACACATCATGGACAAGAATTGAGAGAAGAGCGGTCCATATTTAGAGGCCCTAAGCCAGATATCGCCGAAGTCTGTTTCACTTGCCTATTTACCGAAGCAGAAATTAGAGAATCCCAAGGTTACGCAGCGGGAAGCGCCAGCGTTGACCAGAAGACCTGAGGCTTTTCAGGCCGGGCTTTGATTTGTGGCCGTTTGCCTCGATGCACTAGGGCCACTAGGGTTAAGGATTTAAGAGTTTAGGGTTTCTTGCTAAGGGTTTAAGAGGGTTAAGGCTTAGCATGTCACGGGCGGACCGAAGCGCATAGTCAAAAACAACTCCAACATAAATAATAACAGCATGCTGGCCAAAAGATCCAAAGACCTGGGCACGGTGGACTTTGTGCATTGAGAATGAACCCCCGCCCAGGAGTCTGCAGAGTTGCGTTCGGTGCCGGAACCATCTCGGGCGAACAACCTGGGTGGACTGGATGATGTTTCATCACGGCCCAATGCAGTGAAGCAGAGGAGCCGCTTGACATCGGAGCAGCTCGAGCGAAATGGCATGGCAAAGGGCATGGCCACACAAGCTTCCACACCGCTGAACTCGAGTTCTGCGCCCTTTCGCCCTTCCGAGCCACGCATGCTCTTGAGACATCGTGCAGCTCAGCAAGACCGGGTGAAGCCGACCGCCTCTTGGCCAGATTTGAGCTTCAGAGATTTTGCTGGTTGCCGTTGCCCGCTTGACAAATGTCGAACCGGATGTGAGACTTGGACTTGGATGGCGTGGCTTGGAAGCTATCGCGTTTCGTACTTCGAGGCCCTCGGTGAGCGAGCCGAGCGAGCCACGAACACCAATCTCAACCAGGATGGTGCGGAGCTGCCAAGGACAGCGGAGGCCAGGGAACCATGCTTCGGAGTTGCCTCCGTGTTCGAAGCCTGGAAGCATAGACCTGCTCAGGGTGCGCCGGCGTGTACTTCGCGCTCGCGCGAGGAGGTCCACGTGCAGGCGCACGCGAAGGCCGGGGGCCTGAGGGGGTAAGGCGGTTCCTGCGCGCTGGACATGGCAGCGTTGGGCCGGGGTTGTGTGAAGGGCTGGTCCCGCGACCCTCTGGATGTTGATCTTAGAGACTTACAGAGCTTGCGAGTGGTCTCTTGTATGGGCCGGTGTTTAGATGTCGTTCTCTGGCGGATCTGACCTAAGCCTAAGCCGAGAAGGTCAACAGTGGTCCAGCTCAAAGCTCGGCCATGAAGAAGGCCACGATGGAGTCGACGATGGAAGACATTGCAGAAGCCGTCTCCTTGTCTGTTGCCACTTCACTGGACATCGGATTGTTTAGCGCATCATCTGCTGCCACTCCGTCTTTGACGATACCACCTCCACCACCTTCGCCGCCTCCACCACCGCTTGCAGTCCACGAGCACTACACCAGCCAGCCACACACCAACCCAATACCCCCTCCTCCTGTGGCCCCTCCACCGCAGCCCTCTAATTCCGGCTTGGCCGAAGCTTTGTTGCCAGCTTACATGCAGCCGGATTTTCGGCCGCAGCCGAGCCAGCCGGTCCTCGGTCCCACACTTGGGCCACTTGGCCCAGACTTCTCCACCCGTCCTGTGGGGGTTTTGGGCGCCCCTGGGCCTGCACCCAGACAGCCGAGTACTCCACCAAGCCCAGTGCGACTTCCTAGCCAGTTGGGCCCGTTGGGGCCTCAGCCTATGGGTCCACTTGGCCCGCTGGGCGCTGGGCTTATTGGCCCGCCAAGCCAAGAACCTCAAAGTGCCGCAGCACAGCTCTTCGCACTTCCTGCTCTTTTTGCCGACCACGCTCAACTGTTGGGTGCGCCGGCTCTGGGACCAGATGACAGGATGCCGCAGGAGGAAGCTGTCTCTGGCGAGGCTTCCGAGGTATCTTACTCAGCGCCCTCTGCGTCTCTACAGCGGCAAAGGTCGCCCGTTGAAGTGGAGTCTTGGCCCGCACAAAGCTGAGCTTGCCCGGAACAGTCCCAAAAGCCGGACGGAGCCATGCCTAAGGACGACATCGTGTTGGAAAGGGCAAGTTCCTACCAAGAGATGCCACGCACTTAGGATTTTAGCTATGGCATGTCGAAGCCCAGACCATCAACCTGCGCTACAGACTGATAGGACGATGATGCAGTCACCAACTAAAGATCCCGCCGTGTGTCATGCGTGGCAGGTCTGCGCACAGCCAGACGGTCGTGGATGGACAAAGCATACCTTCAACAGGAGCGCATCGATGTGGGGATGATCATAAAGACAGATAATGGCCATTGGGATGATGCGGTGCTGGTGGTTGGTGATGACACCACTGCAGGTGATAATGAAGACAATGACCTTGGTGATGACGATGGCGATGCTTACCCTTCTCAATTGTAAGTATGTAATTGGCACTGATGATGGCAACTCTGCCATACTACTAAATTACTAAATTAAAGCCACTACCAGTGCGACGACGAGGAGGAGGAGCAGCAGGGAAAAGGAGGAGCAGGGGACAGGAGCAGGAGGAGGAGGAGGACGTCGACGATGATTGTGCCACGAGCACCACCACCACCACCACCACCACCACCACCACCACCACCACTGCTACTGCGAGCACTACTGTCGACAGATAGCACTAGCAGTGGCGGTAAAGCAGGCTCATAAAGCTTGATGTGCAAGTGCTG